TAGTTGTAGTTGCACTTGTAGTTGTAGTTGTAGCGTAGTGTAATTGAGTGTAGTGTAGTGTAGTGTAACTGAGTGTAGTGCAGTGAAGTGAAGTGGAGTGTAGTGTAATGTAGTTAGTGTAGTGTAGTGTAATGTAGTGTGTAGTTGTAGTTGTAGTTGTAGTTAGTGTAGCGTAGTGTAGTGCGGTGTAATTTAATGTAGTGTAGTGGAGTGTAGCGGAGTGTAGTGTAGTGTAATCATATCATATGTATATGGTCTGTAGCTGCAGCATTCAATGAATCAGGGCTCGTCTAGCCCTTGCTATTCCACCACATGTTATCGGCTACAACAATCACGGAATAGGAAACCCTGTTCCAAACAGCTCTATAGGTAGCTGTATCACAAACTGTCAACGGGAACATAAAAATTTCAGAGTGCTTGATGAGAAGGAACTAGTGGCCTCGAAAGACAGCAACAAGGAATGGACATGCGGTGCCAAGCAAACAAGCTCCATGGAGTTGAATGTGGATTGGATGAACGAAGCCTTTGTCCAAGGGTCTTTGTGATCCAACTATTGATACTATTGGAATGTCCCCAAATGCCAAACTGTCGTCCACAGTCCACAGATGTGAAGTAAAAGCATAGAGAACAAGAGATAACAAGAGTAGGTACATCGTGGTAAATCAACAAGGAAGGTGCACCCTTTTGAAATGGAGGCTTTGTTTGCCAACTTCGAAGCATCTACAAAGGTCAGTTGAGGGGACAGGCGGGGGTAAACGACCAAAAGAAAAAGCTGAGGAAAAGCTGAAGAAACCCGGCTGCAAAGAAATCCATCGCATACGTCTTTTGAAAAAAGTCCCCTGGCTTCCAATATGTCGCCAAATTCTGCTTCTCACATGGGTCGCGGTCACTTGCCCTAACTGATGGTCTGGGGTTCCCAACGAGACAGTTCCTCTGCAGCTTCTGCGGCAGCAGCATCTCGACCGTACCTGTTGCACTCAACAAGTTGTGCTAATGTTACTCTGCTGAAGTGCCGTTCTTAGGGCAGTGTCTCTGAGGTTTCAGCACGCAGGGCACACGCGAAACACTAGTTTGGACTGAAGGTACTCAAGGAAGCGTGATGTCACAGGATCCTGCCAAGCAAATCTGCGAATCATGGGCAAATGTATGAACTTCTAGTTGTGCTATGTGAGCGGAACTAGCAAGCCCAACATTGCACTCTGATTCCAATCACAGCTGTTTATCTCAAGTTTCTTTTTTCTCACTCATTGTCATCATTGTATTCAAATTCAATATACTGATTTGGCAGATTTATGTCCACAACAAAGTACCATCTGGCTGGGTCAAACCTCTGGAGACCCACTGGATCAAAAACACAAAAGGGTTGAGATCGGGCAGAGATCCTCAGACTTGCTTTGATTATCTTTGATTGAATATCCCCAAACTCCCCAAACATCTCCAAACTCTTTTGAAACTTGCATGTTTTCTTATGCTTTCGTTGATGTGCAGCTTGTGGGGTACATACATGTGGCAGTGGTCATGTGTCCCTACTTTGGTTCTTGGGGACAGAAGGGACCTTGTCTTTATTGTGCAAGTGGTTGCTTTTTCTTGGTGCCCTGCTGCCCTGCTGTTGTTGCATGCGCCTCAATTAAACGCTTGAACATCTGTCTTATCGCTGCTTGTCCCTTAACAAAAGATCTAGAAACCTAAAGAAAGATTATTCATTATTCAGCTCGATATGTGATTTTACCAAAACCAGCGTCTTCCTCATTACTATTTCCCTTTCACCTACTCCAGCTGTGTGGAAACTCGCAAGCAGGGACACCAACACCCCCACGAACCCACGGACGAGATGAACAGAGCAATAATATCACTCTTAAGTTGCTCAATTTGCACGAACAGAGCTGCGCAACAATACCTGGTTACCTGTCTTTATCACAAATTGACTCCTGCCATGTCTATAACTACAAGTACTGTCTATTAAATAATGTGCTCGTTTTCAACTCACTGAGCAGTTCATTTTGAGAAAAAGGACTTTAGGATTCTATCTGAAGTTACCCTTTTCTTCTAAGCCCTTCTGATTCACAAATCAAGTTAAATTCACGTTCCAGTGTTTGATCCTTCCACCCAGAAGAACAATTTTGCCTACGAAGGACAAGCCTGATGCAAACAAGGGCAGATGCATCATCAATCATGGAAAGAACAAGCACTCTAAAAGTGTTGAAATCCGGTCATGTCATAAGTGCATATTGCTTTTTGCTGGTCGAGAAAAGCGGTCCTTTGCATGAAGGGAAGTTGGCAAGTGAATGTTTTTCATCGGTATATTAAAGACCGTAAGAGCAAGTTGTTTGGGGGGAAGAAAGAAGTTAGAGAAGCTGAAAGAACAGCCAGCTCACCCTCATGATGCAGCCACCGACACCAGGAGACAAATTCAGGAAGACGGAATGAGGGCACAGCCAGCATCAGCAAGCTCAAAGATTCGGACACCACATGTGATGAAGCCACATGGAACCGGGAGAACCTCATCAGTAAACACATTGGGGAATGACGAAGCCTGACGAGACCTTAGAAGCTGAAGACACAGCGGGAAAAACTGGCAGAATGAAGGGAGATAGCCCACATGTGGATAGCCTGGATGCGTTGGCGCACGTGCAGCGCATTCTGCGTTAGAGCTGGTGCAGCAGGTCAGAAATTATTAGCATGTCATGTTGGATTACTAAGGGTAAAAAACATGGATTTTCCGAATACAGTAGTGGTTTTCCCGTTGGAAAAATCAACAATCACTTCAGCAAACCAAAGTCAGGCATTATGGGCATGCAGCCGTCAAGCCCATGCCACAGCACCCAAAGCAGGGATTTAGCAAGAACTCTTGGTGATCTTGATGCTACCCCTAGTGTGGTATGAGATTCCCGGATCAGCAATCGTAGCGCAAAAATGTCCTTACAAACAGTCATGGCATGAGCGCCGGGCATCCGCCCCCTTGGGGTTAAAGTCTTTGTTGCAAGTATCGAATCAGGTCAACAGCACACTTCTTGCCTGAACAAACGTGTGGCTGTACTTGAAATCAGGATTGCAATTGTGGCCAAACCTCGTTTGCACCACCCAGCACCCTTGTGAACTTTCAGCTTCGGTTACTCTGAAAGCAGGTTGCAATCAGCTGGGCTGGCTGCACCGTGGGCAATTTGTGCGGCCTCGCCAGCCCAAAGCAGGCGCCGGTGAAGTAATTGCGCAAAGCTCCAGTGAAGCCACTTGACTCCCTTGACTCACTTGACTCTCAGTTATTCGGGGCCTGAATTGACTTTTGAACTCGGTAAATACCTTTCTTTATATTTACCTTGCCAAGAGACTTTTCGTCAATGAAGTAATTGTACTCCACCCGCACATCATTTGCCAAAGCCTGCTGCACTGATCATGTGAGAAACATCAAAACTTAAGTTGGCGTTGAAATTCTGCACTGTCCTTGTTTCCGATGCAGGATTGGTGTCCAGTAAAATCCTGAAGAAGGTGCAGCATGCGCCTGTCAGTCTTTATTATATAGATAGAAGCCTCTTCTTCGGAAAGAGTGAAAGGACGAATTTGAAAGCAAACACCTGATTTTTCTCTACAAGAAAAGACTTGGAGTGCAGTGTCAAAGAATCTGTACAACGAGACTAATCTGAAGAGTAGTCTTTGCATTGGCAAGGCTACCAAAGTTCAACATGTGTAATGTTGTTTGCTTCATTTATTTCCTGCTCTTGTGAAAGAAAGAAAGCAAACTGTTTAGATTTCACAAAGTGTCTTCAAAGGATAAGACTCTGGATTCCTCGGCCACAACAAAAACAAAAAGAGCCAATGAAACCTCTCGGTTGGGGTAGAATTCAGGATGCATAAAACCATGAAACTCCATGAAACAATGTTTGAGGACGGATTCATCGCCAAAACAAATCAACAACTGCTTCTCTTCAGTTTGCACTGAGCAGGTGCCCAACAAATCGTTTTTCCTTTTCAAAGGTTTTGAAGCTCGACAGCCCAAGACGCATGTCGAAAAGTCGACCATTGATCTATTTTTTGTCTTTTTGGGTCACAATCGAAATAGCATCGTCCGACTTGATGCCAGCATTTCCTGGCACCGTGCCTCCGGCAGCCCAGAAGCGCCAGGTACGCTCACCAAGAATTTCATGCAGGATCCCAGTAGCTCCTGGGTCCATCGTGGCGTCTCCGTCTGTGACGTCTGAATGAAAAGCCCCTTTAAATTCATGGACACAATCAGACCCTATAGGTCCCTATAGGTTAGACAAAATGGGAATCTTTTCAGACTGGCACCTCAGGTTCCTCCACAACTTCCTCGTCTGGGATGCCCAAAGATCCATCCTGACCAGAATTACTATGCCAATCTATGAGAACCTATGAAAATGCTCATTCTCATGGACAGGACGTGATGTCTTGAATGGGTAAAGCTGAACTAAATTCTCTGCCCGAATATGAGTTACAATTTCTCCTTTGCGATTGGCACGATTTCCACTGTCAAGCTTCCAACCTTGGTACAGCAGCTTGGACAGTGCAATCGCTACCCAGCACAACCAAGGGTCTTGAAAGTCTTCGCTGCCTATGGCAAAAGTATCAAAGTGTCAAAAAAATGCAAAAACAATGTGAATTGTCAAAAATGCCAAGCTGGAAGCTGCTTGGCCTTCGCTGCTCAGGATCCTCTGCCGCAAATGAAATGAGCCACAGTGTGTAGTTTTTTGGCAAAATTCAAAAAAAATGGCAAACGTGTTAAAACCTCACGATGTGAAGAGTCTGGCTGGGATAATAAGTCCTCGCATCAACTTTGTTTTCCACTTGAAGCAGCACCTTATTTATCTGATTTCTTGGCGCAGGGCTCACAAATCAAAGCGCTGATGCAGTATCATCAAATGTACTTGGCCAGTCGCCAAATTACAAGGTGCGTGGCAGCATCTCTTGGTCCCATGCCCCTTCAAGTAGGACTTGGGCTACGCCAACAAGTCGCTCCACCTCAAATTGAATAGAGAAAAGAGGACAGCAAAAATGCACTCGAGCCACTGCCGCAGTCTTCAATAGTGAAGTTTGATGTAATTGCCGGACTTTCAATATTGAAACAAGTGATGGAAGTGATGGAAGTGATGCTTCGTTGCCTGGCCTCGATTGGGTCCCATAGCGGATCTTCCTCGTTGGGCAAATCCTGGACAGCCTGTGCTGCAAACTTTCGCTTTCACCAGTTTGGGGCTGCCGCGGCCACCGGTGCCCACAGTGCCTCTAATCCTTCTTCTTCTGCTCTTTGAAGCAGCTCTCGGAGTATGAAAACTGACACATTTCACAAGTCATGAGTGACTGCTGGTCTGTTCTCACCCTGGGCAATTGCAGAACAAAGGGCTCAAAGGACTTGTTCTCGTTGCAGGGTTCAGAACTCTTATTGTTCAAATGAATGGATCTCCGCCTCAGACTGCAAACGGAACGTGGCCACCCTTCTTAGGCTGATAAACATGATCTCTGTCTCTATCATGAAAAAAACATGCAGGCAGCACCTGAAAACAGTACAAGGCTTGTAAAGGGTAAATCATCTTCAATCAAAGCGTATGCTTGTTGAGGTTTCGCAGTATAATTATATGGTTGTTTATGGTCGTTGCCCGAAGACTGATTTGGGTGGACTGAACTCTCTTTATCAGCAACTTTCAAGGGAGCAAAAGAAGATAGTCCAGTCCAGCCTCGATTTTCGAGAGTTTCAGGGTTCCACTCGAAGAGTCGAACACCTTCGGCGTTTAGCCGTGTGACTGCGCATCCTTCTGCCGAAACGGTCCCTCGCCAGTCTCTCGTTCCGTTCCCGCACGTTTCATTGTCTAGGAACTATTGTTTCAATCACATGCAGGGAGCTTTACTGAAGGCTGTAAAGCTTCACAGCAACAACAGCAGCAGCAACGACAACCACCAAAAGCAACAACAAGCAAAACCAAAAGCAAGCAACAGCAAGCAACAACAACCCACAACCACAACAACCCACAACAATCGACAACAGACAACCAACAACCGATTAACAACCGACAACCGGCAACCGACAACGACAACAATCAAAACAAAAGCAAGAAGAACGAGCAGAGCAAGAAGGACAAGAACAACAAGAAAAACACAAAGCACAAGAAGAACAAGAAGAACAAGGAGAACGAGAAGAACAAGGAGATCGAGAAGAAGCAGACAAACAAGTCCTTCAAAGCCAGAGAATGCCGCTCAAACAGCCACAAACCAAGAGGAAGTTTAGTTTTCATTCAACCCAAACAAATTGAGCCGGCCAAAGGTCGTGAAATTGTGAGGAGTCTTCCGCCCTTCGAACCCTTGCTTGGAACACCTTTACCCACTTTAACCTACTACTCTTGTTGCAACTTTTGGCTGGACAAGCGTAGGATTGCAAGAACCTTTACACTTACACATAAAAGTACCAAGCTTCTAGAACGTAACATTCAGAAGCCTCTAGATCCTCTAGTTGGAACCTAAATGTGCAAAACTGAATCAACGAAATTCCATACAAGCGAACACCCAGCTTTCTTCAAGACCAGGATCCCAACCATTGAGCATGACCGCGGCCGCAACATTCACCGCCCTTGGAGGACTGTCCATCGTCGTGCTTCCAAGTGAATTGCAGCTACCAAGGCAGGACTATATACGACTACCCTGCAGGTGAGCTATGGTGCGAACCCACTCTTTCCCTCAGCTGTGAGTTCGCAATGCATCTTTGTTTCCAGGCGATGTGGCCTGCAAACAGATGCAGCCGTCTTATTCGAGGTATCACGAACAAGCGAAACCAGAAGCAACAAAGGCCCACCACGAAACATGATCAGTTTGTTGCTCAAATGAGTGATTTCCATGCCTTTGCAACTCCTGGATGATCAGGTTTGCCTGGGACCGGAGCCACATTAATTGTTAGTTCCAACGAGAAAAACCAAAACACACAGACCACCCAAACATGTAGGCCTCTTTCACAAGAGGCATAACAGTCATAAGCTGTTCCTGTGACAAGGACTTCTGAATGTGTTGATGCAAGCTGAGTTTGTAAAGGTGGAAGAACCAAACCTTCCAAAGTTTCTTATTTTAGACTGTATGATTTCTGCGAGGCTCAAGGACGTTGGTGCAATCTATGCAGTGCATCTTATGGGATCTCGTCCTCCAGCTTCTGCATTGCCAACTCATGCTGGCGGTGTCCTACGAAGGACAAGCAGCAAAGTCCGCCCTCATCTCTACACAGGATACACATTCTATCTCATCACATAGTTTTTCTCTACTTTCAATGTCAGCAACATGTTTTTCTTGGTTTTGCTCGAGAATGCAGGTGTTTTCATGTTTTAAAGAGGATCCAGGCTCAAGTGGCCGCGGAAATGATAATTGTTTTTCAATCGCACAACGTGGCTAGACGGGGGCTAAATACATATAATCAAAGGAAGTTGGGAAGCAATACTTCCGTGTTACGGACAAATAGAATTGTGAGACTTGACATTGATGAAGGGCGGTGTGAAACTTGACATCACATTGTGAGACTTGACATTGCTGAACGGCGGTGTGAGACTTGACATCACATAACAATACATCACTAAAGAATAATAGGCTATGACAAGGGCGGTGCGAGACTTGACATCACATAACAGTACATCACAAAAGAATAATAGGCTATGACACTGGGCGGTGACGAAGGGCAGTGGTGACCTAGGGAAATGGTGACTGTGGGAAGTGGAGAGGAAGGGAAGTGGTGACTTTGGGAAGTGGTGACTAAGGGAAGTGGTGACTAAGGGAAGTGGTGACTTTGGGAAGTGGTGACTTTGGGAAGTGGTGACTTGGGAAGTGGTGCCTAAGGGAAGTGGTGACGAAGGGAAGTGGTGAGGAAGGGAAGTGGTGACTTTGGGAAGTGGTGACGAAGGGAAGTGATGACTTTGGGAAGTGGTGACTAAGGGAAGTGGTGAGGAAGGGAAGTGGTGACGAAGGGAAGTCGTGACGAAGGGAAGTGGTGAGGAAGGGAAGTGGTGACTTTGGGAAATGGTGACAAAGGGAGTGTGGTGACTTTGGGAAGTGGTGTCGAAGGGAAGTGGTGACGGAGGGAAGCGGTGACGATGGGAAGTGGTGACGATGGGAAGTGGTGTCGAAGGGAAGTTGTGGCTTTGGGAAGTGGTGACTAAGGGAAGTTTTGACGAAGGGAAGTGGTGAGGAAGGGAGGTGGTGACGAAGGGGAGTGGTGACGAAGGGAAGTGGTGATGAAGGGAATGCTGCAAAATGCATTGTGATGGCTGCATGAACGTTGCATGGGGCTTGTGTTGGGGAGGAAGCCGGAGCACGAAACCGTGTGTTTTTCCGGGTAAAGTGGTTGCAGCCGGCGATGAAAGGTACTTCCTGTGTGCGGCGGGTGCGGTCGGTTTGCCTTTTTTTTTGCCGCGCTGTAACGGTGGCTTCAAGCTGCTTTGGGTGTGCTTGTGCGTGCGTAGTTATAGGGTTGCAGATCGCAGTGGAATGGCTACATTACATGATTGTTGTCACGTTTTGTTGCCATGTGTGCCGACACATGCGGGTTAGCCACGTGATGCTGCAAAACGCATTGTAATGGCTGCAGGAATGTTGCATGGGCTTTGTTTTGGGGAGGAAGCCGGAGCACGAAACCGTGCATTTTTCCATGTAAAGTGGCTGCAGGCGGCGATGAAAGGTACCTCCTGCGTGCAGCAGGTGTGGCTGCGGTCGATTTGCCTTTTTTTTTGCCGCACTGAAACGGTGGCTTCAAGCTTTGGGTCTGCTTGCGCGTGCGTAGTTATAGGGTGTTTTGGAATCTGTGGTTGCAGATCGCAGTAGAATGGCTACATGATTGTTGTCATCTGGTGTTGCCATGTGCGTAGATACAGGCGGGTTAGCCACATCATGCTGCAAAACGCATTGTGATGGCTGCATGAACGTTGCATGGGGCTTGTGTTGGGGAAGAAGCCGGAGCACGAAACCGTGCGTTTTTCCGTGTAAAGTGAAGGTACCTCCTGTGTGCGGCGGGTGCGGCTGCGGTCGGTTTGCCTTTTTTTTTGCCGCGCTGTAACGGTGGCTTCAAGCTGCTTTGGGTGTGCTTGTGCGTGCGTAGTTTAAGGGTGTTTTGGAATCTGTGGTGGCAGATCGCAGTGGAATGGCTACATGATTGTTGTCACGTTTTGTTGTCATGTGTGTCGAGACATGCGGGTTTGCCACGAGATGCTGGAAAACGCATTGTAATGGCTGCATCAAGGTTCCTTACTGCTGTGGCTCTTTGTGTGCTATTTTTGTCTTTTGCAGCTGAGAGTTGTGAATCGTAATGAACCGTTGTAAAACCTTGCTGTGTGTAAAAGCTTGCTGTCAGTAAAAGCTTCTCTGCGAAAGAACTTGCTGTGTGTACAGCTTTCTTTGTGCAAGCTTTGTAGTACAAAGTATTACTGGGAACTGCTTTGTGCAAGCTTTGTAGTACAAAGTAGTACTGGAAAGTGCTTTGTGCAAGCTTTGTAGTACAAAGTAGTACTGGGAAGCGCTTTGCGCAAGCTTTGTAGTACAAAGTAGTACTGGGAAGTGCTTTGCGCAAGCTTTGTAGTACAAAGTAGTACTGGAACGTGCTTTGTGCAAGCTTTGTAGTACAAAGTAGTACTGGAACGTGCTTTGCGCAAGCTTTGTAGTACAATGTAGTACTGGGAAGTGCTTTCTGCAAGCTTTGTAGTACAAGTAGTAGTACTGGAACGTGCTTTGTGCAAGCTTTGTAGTACAGAGTAGTACTGGGAAGCGCTTTGTGCAAGCTTTGTAGTACAAGGTAGTACTGGAACGTGCTTTGTGCAAGCTTTGTAGTACAAGGTAGTACTGGAACGTGCTTTGTGCAAGCTTTGTAGTACAAAGTAGTACTGGGAAGTGCTTTGTGCAAGCTTTGTAGTACAAAGTAGTACTGGGAAGTGCCTTGTGCAAGCTTTGTAGTACAAAGTAGTACTGGAACGTGCTTTGTGCAAGCTTTGTAGTACAATGTAGTACTGGGAACTGCTTTCTGCAAGCTTTGTAGTACAAAGTAGTACTGGCAAGTGCTTTGCGCAAGCTTTGTAGTACAAAGTAGTACTGGCAAGTGCCAACTGGAACGTGCTTTGTGCAAGCTTTGTGGTACAAAGTAGTACTGGGAAGTGCTTTCTGCTAGCTTTGTAGTACAAAGTAGTACTGGGAAGTGCTTTGCGCAAGCTTTGTAGTACAAAGTAGTACTGGGAAATGCTTTGTGCAAGCTTTGTAGTACAAAGTAGTACTGGGAAGTTTTTTGTGCAAGCTTTGTAGTACAAAGTAGTACTGGGAAGTAGTTTGTGCAAGCTTTGTAGTACAAAGTAGTACTGGGAAGTGTTTTGTGCAAGCTTTGTAGTACAAAGTAGTACTGGAACGTGTTTTGTGCAAGCTTTGTAGTACAAAGTAGTACTGGGAAGTAGTTTGTGCAAGTTTTGTAGTACACAGTAGTACTGGGAAGTAGTTTGTGCAAGCTTTGTAGTACAAAGTAGTACTGTGGGAAGCGCTTTGTGCAAGCTTTGTAGTACAAAGTAGTACTGGAACGTGCTTTGTGCAAGCTTTGTAGTACACAGTAGTACTGGGAACGTGCTTTGTGCAAGCTTTGTAGTACAAAGTAGTACTGGGAAGTGCTTTGTGCAAGCTTTGTAGTGCAAAGTAGTACTGGGAACGCTTTGTGCAAGCTTTGTAGTACAAAGTAGTACTGGGAAGTGCTTTGTGCAAGCTTTGTAGTACAAAGTAGTACTGGGAAGTGCTTTGTGCAAGCTTTGTAGTACAAAGTAGTACTGGGAAGTGCTTTGCGCAAGCTTTGTAGCACAAGTAGTAGTACTGGGAAGTTCTTTGTGCAAGCTTTGTAGTACCAAGTAATACTGCAATGTGCTTTGTGCAAGCTTTGTAGTACAAAGTAGTACTGGGAAATGCTTTGTGCAAGCTTTGTAGTACAAAGTAATGCTGCAATGTGCTTAGTGCGAGCTTTTTAGTACAAAGTATTTCGGAAAGGCTTTTCTGTCTCAATGCATTTGTGTCTCAAGAGTCTGTGCAAAAACTTTCTGCGCCCAATGGTGGTTTTTGTGCGGGGGACTTCTCTCTGACAGTAGGAGCTTTCTGGTGTGCAGAGCGGCTAAGATGAGCTGAGATGAACTTCGAGGAGATGAGAAAGGCTGATCAGTGCTCGGATGAGATGAAAACAGTTGAGAAGAACTTACTTAGATGACATGTGAGAATAGATGGAGTGAGATGAGAAGAGCTGAGATGAGGTGAGAAGAGCTCACATGATTTGAGATGAGATGAAATGTCGAGTGCGAAGTACAAGTGTGAAGTGCGAAGTGCAGGGTGTGAAGAGTGCAGTGTGAAGTGCGAGGAAAGTCTTCGCTTGGCGTTGCATTGCACCGGGGTCGCGCGCAGGTCATGTTCTTGGACAACATCTGTGCAACAGCTTCGCACAAAGCACGCACGCACGGGCCTGGCTGGCGCACGGCGCATGCAAGTTCTATAGATGAGAAAGGTCTTATAATATATCCCTAAGACAATTTCCGCCCCGCCTCGTGCGGGTAGTACTGGTATAATATCATATATATGTATATACATTATGATATATATATATATATATATGTCGTGTGTGCTTTTCATACATGTATATATGTAGATATGTGATAATATAAATATATGATTAAATAAACATGATAAGATATATATATATGATTATATATATTATCGTATAAATACATTATCATATATATATACATATATATTTACATATATATATATATATAGATAGATAGATATAGATATATGTTATCATTTATATATGTTATCATAAAAATATTTATATATATATATGTTATCATGTTTATTTAATCATATATCCATATTAACATATATGTATAGTATCATGGATAAATAAAAATATTTGTTACTATTTATATATGTATATATGTTAGCACAATTTTATTTATGTATATATATGTATATATATAGATTCAAACATATATAATCATAATTTTATTTTCATATACATGCTGATTATTTATATATATATATACAAAAGTATTTTTAAATATTATCATATATATATATAATGATTTGTATATATATATATAATCATTTTTATAAATACATTATCATTTATATAAGGTCTCAAGTGATCTCTTTTTCCTCTTGCTCGGCTTGCACCGAGTGAGTGAAGTGACACAACCTTCGACGACTTTGGTCACAAAGGATAGCGCGAAGTGGAAGGGCGCCCATTCGTCCCATCATTTCCCGGTATCTTGTCTTTTCCACAAAATATACCAAACTGACGTTGGAATGTTGGCAGTCCAAAATTCCTCGGCACATTGTAAAGCTTAAGAAAATAATCACACAAAGGAAACACTTTGCGCCAGCAGTCGAAAGGAAGAACTGAGAGAAATTGGAAGGCTGCCACCTCCTGTAGATATATTTCCATAACTCTCACATTGATCCACCGACCTCTTCTTCTACAGAATTCTGCGTCTTCTGTAACCTAAATAATCCATGTGGCTCCGCCAGGTCTCAAAGATCCTAGGTCCAAACCTTTACCGTTGAGGGTAGCAGATTCCAACTTCAGCCAAGGGCCAAGACTTGCCTAAACCGCAGTCGCAAAGTTTGGCCAGATCTAGGCCAGAGCTTTTGTAGGGGCTGAAGTTGAGAAAAACCAATGCACAACTCTCACCAGGGAGGGAATATCCAGTTAGCACATTGATGACGAGCTGCAATGAACCTTGTCCTAAGTTCATGTACGGAAAGCAATACAAAGGAATTTGAAAATTCGTATCGGATGGCAGCAAAAGGTCTTTCCTTGTAGCATTCAGAAAATTCACCGACGCGAAGGAGAGCACCCCATGTTAAAGCAAACATGCCTGCCACGTCCAACCAACCCCGAATGAGACAAGTAGTAATTTGCCATGGCATTGCTACGTGGTGGGCGTTCAGTTCGTCCCACACCAATGCAAATGCCAAATTCCAAGCTTCCTCAAAGAGACTGCATTGGTGGTTTCCGCAAAGTGGTTGTACGGCCTTCCACTTGAATACAGACACCTTCCATACCTAACCAATAAACTGTTGAGATCATCAATTCGCTGCTGATAGTTTGCCAAAATATCATCCAGAGAAAACCCAAAGATCGCACCCAAGATTCAAACTGGCTTCTGAGAGACTCCCTATGCTGACTTGTCACCGTCAGCACACGTCTTGGGCTGGCACTTCTCTGTGCCTGTCGTAACCTGTCTCCAGAGTTCCGTGCATGGCTGCTACAAGTCAAAAATAACATGGGTCACTGTGCCAAGGAGGTACACCTGAGGCCCTTCGCCTGGGAAGCCTAAAGTGGAATCAAAATCCATCGAAGAGCCCTGCCTGCTGGCTCGGTGAGGGCTCTCCTGGCCTGCTGCCTCCGTGAGGACAGCAGCAGAAGACAAGCCAGCCGGAAAACGCGGAGCACGAAAAACGGAGCGATCACAGAGACGGAGAACAGAAGGACCCAAACAAAGCAGCACCAAAAGGGACCAGTCAGAAATCCAACAACGAGCCTAGCAAACCAGCGAGGCGGTAAAGGTCCTGGCGCGCCCAAGCAGATAAATCCAAGCCCGGACAGGGACCACGGAGAACTGTGTTTCTGGTAGGGTCATCAGCTGGATTCAAGCGAGTAGGTATGAAGCTCAACGACACATACAGGCCACCAACCACGCAAAGAGCAGCAAGTCGAGAAAGGATACGTGACAGGGCCCGTGATGACGACCGTCCCTTTGCACTGGCACATTTCAACACATTGGAGTCCACAAGAATGACCAGACGAAGGGATTTCCCTTTCTTAACACAACCTGCAACAAGCCTCACGACAGCGGACAACTCCATGATATTTATGTGAGAGGTAACACGGAAAATCCACACAGAGCTGCATTCCCAAGATGCCGAAGTGCACACTTGATTGATCAGCTGGCTCTCCAAACCTTCACTTCTAGGCAAGTCCACGCCCCGCTCAAAAACCAGCAAGTGTTGAATGCCATCTGCCATCACATCGGCAAGCGCAGACAAAAGGTCAGGCACATAGGTGGCGGATCTTTTTGTCAGCTCACCTTGGATCAGGACATGAGTACGGCCACCTTCACAGCGATTGGAGATAGGAACCACATTTGCCCAAACGCACAAGAAAGCGAAGGATTTCAAGTGAGGGGAGCCGTAAGCATAAGAGTCACAACGCACACACTCAGCACATTCCCATGGCCTCGACTATCTTCCAGGATGGGAGGCTTCTAGTCTTTGAAGCCCAAGGGTTTTCTCAACCACACCAACACCAGGCACACCAGAAATGGCACAGACAAAAAGGAGGAGTAATGCCCGCCGAGCAAGTTTTGTTCCCATGTTTGTCTGTGGGCCATCCAAGTCAAAACCAAAAGGAAAGTCCAAGCTCCTGAGAGCAGGCCTGCGCATTATGCTAAAGGTAGCGCATGGAGGCTCAATCAAAACCGATTTCACCAGCCGGTTTGATGCAAGGTGTATCAGCCACTCAATCACGTGATTTTTTGCGATATACCTCTATTTGCCATGATTGCTGTAACCGCAGGTGCACCCGCAAAGACCTCAATAAAATCAAAGCGATAGGCAAGGGGTCTTTTGACTGACTCGGGCTGCCGTATTGGTTCTTCTTCAAAATCCAAACACCTGGCCAAAACTGACTGACCAGGAGTGAGCAGCTTTGAGCAAATCCTCTTTGAACGGCAGCTTCTCCACAAGCACTCAGCGACAGGCTGTGCAATTTTGCAAGACACAGTGGCCCCTTTGAAAATGGAGAGTCAGTGGCAAAAAGATCCTCACAAAATCAAACAGTAATATCCGAAATAATCAGCGGCGCCAAAACCGACAAAATTACCAGCTCATTCGCAACTGATCTAGGCAACTGGATAAGCTTTGGTGCGCCGCATCAAAGACATCCATGTCAACTAGGAGAAAGGTCTGCTTCAGTATCGACATGAAAGGCCGCCTGTACATCAATATGGAAGTCCACCCACCAACAGCACACAAATTCCAAGGAATCTGTAGTATGGGTAAATTGACAAAGTTGTAAGGAAAGCCAAGCCAGAGAGTAGCGCTTTTCTGGAGGTGCAGATACCAAGACATGCCCTCGATCTGGACACTGAGGAGATGCATTCAAAAAAGCCCCAATAACCTTTGCTTTCCTTTCGCCAGAAACATCCTTGCCATCGCACCCCAGAATGTCATGTCTTTTAAAAAGGTCTTTGCTTTCCTTCAGGCAACGCATAGCGGCAGCGGGATCAGACTGGGTACCCTTTATCGGTATCTTTGCCACTGCAAAATAATCATCTATCACCAGACCTTGACAAAGAGCACCCCCGCCAAAAGGACGGTCAGAACAAAGTCGTGACTGTTCATCCAAAAGGCCTGGCTACATAAGCAAACCTTCATGCGCTGCAGTTGCAATCTCGATCGACTCCCGCATGATCTCCCTGGAAGATGCTTCCAAATGCCACCATGACTTCACCCTTTGCACATCTGGGAAACATCTGCCTTTCAGAAAAACCCAACTGGTCTCCTCTGACAATCCGCGGGGGCTTCTTGGCTCTTTTGGCTGCAGTGAAGAGCTGAAAAGCCAGCGGAATCCTAGGGCCAACTGTATTTGAGAGGCATCTGCTGCGAGAGGTTGCAAATTGATGGTAAGAGTCCCGGCGATCAGTGCAGATGATTGAGAGCGTCTCACGCTTTGAATCAGGGCAAATTCAACCCGACACCAAAAACCAGATGAGTATGCAAGGTGGATTCTCTGCAAGGCTTCACTTTGATCCCAGCACATGAAAACCACTTGGTCCTCACAAAGGGCTGCACTGGTCCTGGGCCTGATTCAACTTCGATCCTGGTATCACCGACAAAAGCAGGTCCAGCGTCCTCCTCCAGCTCCCAAAGGCGAGCAATCTGAAGAATTGCAGGAAATTCGGTCTTGGTGACTGGCAACCTGGCAGCAACGGCACGTCCCTTGGGATCCCCCTCTCTTATAGCCTCGGGCAGAAGCTTGTGCCCCTCGACCCTCCTCCTCCTGACTGTGCCACCTTTCAAGAACCTCAAGCTTGGAAATCAAATCACCCCATCCAAAGCGGAGAGAGGGCAACTCATTCAAGGTAGCGATCCAGCCTTGATCGAGTAGGAGCTCTCGAAGCCGGTGGAACCGAGGCTTTGAAGATTTCGGCACGGGAAATCCAAACCAGGACAACAAATCCAACCAAAATCCAAGAGGAAACCACACCATCCACAAAGCCAAGGGGGGCCCAAGGAAGACAAGACAAAGAGCGGTGGAAAGGGCACGAGACAAGCCTGGAAACCTCATTGGCCACAGTCACTCGGCCCCAAATACCTTCGATCCAACCTACCATTTGATTGAGCAAGCAAGATTCAGGCACACACATTCGAACTTAAGTCCTATTATATACATAATATATATATATATTATGGGTTATTATGGACAGCAAGAGTATAGCAAAAGCTCCTCACAAAGAAAGCTCAGAAATACAAAACAACACCGTCTGATACCGAGGCCAACAATACGTTCTTTACGTGGATGTGTCACTCCTTCTTCTTCAGCTGCAGCCTTTTTCGCTTTCTTTTCTAGCTCCTTCCAGCGGCATCACATGGCACCATCGTCAATTACATCCTTTCATATCTTTCATATTTTTTTGGTCGTTTCATATCCAAAGAATGTATAAAAAATCCAAAAGGCCTTGAGCACCAGACACACAACAAACACACAGGCCCTGGCAGACATCATATTCAGCATCGTTCAGCATTGTCCTCAATCTTGTGTTGAGCAGCTTCTTCAGCTTTTTTCTGCCGCCTCAATGTTTTGGTCGTGGTCACTGTTTAGCATAGAATGCGGAGCTGTTTTGCCAAAATTAACTTACAAATAAACCATGAATCCAGTGTGTCAGATAGGGAGGGGCCTGGTCAAATGTACGCACGTAGAATTCTAGAGCCCGCTGCCAGCCTTCCTTCCAAGAATCTCATTATTATTGGTCAAAACAACCCACTTCTTGTTGCTGCATTATATTGTGTTAATGCTTTGGGTCAAAATCCTGCAAATACCTTCGTCAGGCTCCTTGACTCCGATTGCTCCTCCCTACATTTATCAAAGCCGTTGTTACCAAAAAAATGACAAATTTTGTCTTTAAGCCATGATGAGGACTTTGCGCAATTTTGCAAGGCGGCTTCACAGCAGCAAGTGATGGTAACAAAAAAATCTGAAAATCTTCAGTTTCAAGTGAGGTGGCTTGGGTTGATGCTGAAGTGGTTTGAACGGATTTCAAATGAACTTTGAATGCCCGTGGGTGAAGGCCCACATTGTTCCCACTATGTTTGAAAGATCGGAACACGCTTGAACGAGTCTGCATAGATTTGAACGTGTATGCGACAAAAGCCGGATACCCGCCGCACATTGACTCGCCGGCTATGTTTAGTCCTGCCAAGCTGAGCAGACGGAAGTAAGCTTAGTTTCCGGCGCTTCGAAGTCCTGCTGCAATCTGCTGAGCTCCTGCGATGATGATTTTCTTTTCGTTGAGTCAAAACCGCGAGTAGTAAAAGAATTAATAAAGAATGTAGAAAACAAACTAAACAAAATATAGTTCAATATGAAACGTTCAAAAGCATCTCGCCTCGGCATGCACACGTGCCTGGCAAAAAAGGTACAGGAGTTTCGGGAGAGTCCATACTGTACACTCACCAGCAAACATGTGAAAACTAGAGTTGCAGTTATATCCTTATTGTTGCTGCAGAATCCTGCAGAGTCTGTTGAAAGCTCAAAGAAAAGGTGGATCAAAAGCCTTTTCTGAAACACAGAGGTTGTGAGGCTGTAGGGCATTGCGGGCATGCCATAAACTGTAGAGTTTTGGCTTTCCAAATTGGAACTGCAAAAACATCATGACAAACTGAGCGACCTGTTCTGCTGCAGCAGCTTGTTCGCTTGCTTCGGCAGCTTGACGCTGTTGCATCTCCTCTCGGAACACAAAATCGGCAGAGAGGAGTTCGAATCCCAAACAGCTAACACCAGCAAGTATTAGCCAACATTGACAAAATAGTTTTGAGGCCCAATGGTTCTTCAATTTAAAGTTCTGAGGCAAACAGCTGCAGGATCTTTTCTTTGGACGTTCTTCTGGCCATTTCTGGCCTGTTCCCACTGTTTCTGCTTTTGGTCCATCTGCAACCGGAACCTGAGACGCAGTGTCACAGAGCAGCGGTGGGACGTGCAACGACAATGACTTTCGCAAATAAGCTGCCAGCTCTTCCTCCCGTTGTCTCATGAGGGCCTCCGCCTCAGCCTGCACCAGGAAACTCAAAGAAAAATACCTCAATGATCGAAACCTCTTCTCTGGAACATTTTGTTGACAGGTTTGTCAAACTTTGCGAATAAATCTTGATACCTCTTGATACATCAAGATGCAGTATGGCACATTTTTCCAGACTTAGTTCCTTGATGGGTTCAGGTCGGGTTTGCCTTTGCTTTCACCTTAGCTTCTTCTGCCTCTCGAGCCTGACACACGGATCCACAGCTTTCTATGCGGGAGCTGGTCAAAAGATATCCGGCTATGCCTTCGATGTTTCATGTGCTACCAACTATTTTAAACATGCAAGTAGCAAATATATAATGATTGTTAATGATTTTTCAATGATGTTTAATGATTTTTAATGATGTTTAATGATTATATGTAATCCAATTGTAATCCAATATCTCCAACATCAAACATGCTCGGACCCAACACATCGCATCCCATCGCCTTTCGCTCCAACTCTTCGGCCAATTGTTTGCTGGCCTTCGTCGCAGAGCAGTTCAGAAAGGTTTGAAAGGTTACGAGCTGGTTACAGAATCCTACAACTTAAAAGCCAAAACGCAGAAGCGTTAATACTAAATGAATATATAACATATGTATAATATATATATATACAAAGAAGATGTATATAATATGTGTATATATATAATTTATATAATGTATATCTGTATATATAATAAATAGAACAAACACATACTAATTCAAGATATCTACTTTCCTTCCGTGTTGATCCTTCTTTCATCTTCTTTTGTTCTTTCTGTTGCTAATTTTATATATTTCTTATGACCAGTTTCTTACGTTTCTTGGCTGCTCTTCAGTTGCTCCCACCTTGAGCTCCTCTTCAGAGGGTCCAGTCACGTCGCCCTGCAGTTCCTTCCAAAAGTGCAAGTTGAAACAAACACGCAGACTTTGCAGTCCACATGGATTTTTTCCGGCATAATATCAGAATGTGAATGCCCGCATGATATTAGTACATAAGATACCGAGGAAAGCGATGATCCAAGCAAGCATATCAGCCCACAGTGGCATGCCCAAAGGTTATCAAGTGCAATATGTATCAATATGTCGTGTTCAAAACATGCGATATGCCAACATGTAACATACTGTAATAGTGTAACATAATTACCTCAGTGAGTCATCGAGAAGCCTTTCGAGCAGCTGCGTACGTAACTTGCCCGGAGTTGATCAGCTCAGCCACTTTGCCCTCACGCAAGTTTTATTCAGAAGTGAAATCAGTCGGCAAACGAGTACAAAGCAGAAGTTGTCTGTGTCTGCCACAAATTCCAAACGAGATAAACTGAAACACACCACGGAGGACAACTGATGCCATCTGATGCCTGCAAAAAAAAAAACAGGTGGAAATGGTGTTGAACTCTGTGTTGCACTGACTTCGACCAGCCTTGCTGGGTTCAACGAAAACGAAAATACACCTTGGGTCGATTGGGTCGATTGGGTCGATTGGGTCGATGCTAGAAATATCTGGAAATCACACAATGAGCTCTGCAGATTTCTGCATCACTTGCACTCAGCACATCCCAGCTGCAGTGCGCAACATTCTCTACTCTAGATATCTAACGATGTCTGCCAATATATGACATATGATACAGCATATGCCTAATTATCTGTAGATGTCTACAGATTTTTCTAGCAGATTATTGCAGATTGAATTTTGGGCAAATGTCATGGGTTGCCGCTGGCAGGCTATAGCAGCTAGCAATCCAGCCAGATCAGCCACGCTATGCCAAGCTTCTGTCCAAAGGCAAGCCGGTCTCCATGTGAGAGCGTAACTGAGAAGCGAGTTGTGCTGGAGCCGTAACTGGAGCTGCAACAGCAATCCAACACAATCCCAACTCCAAGCCTGCAACACCCGCTTGTAAAGCAGTGCCATTGACAAATGTCGTAGCAGCTGCCTCAAAGAGATTCTTGAAAGGACTTCCACATGAGGCTATTTCTAAGACTGTCACATCTGTCTTTCAACTGCTGCATTCTCGAGTCTCGCTGCATCAAGTCTTCTCTCGTCTCCTAAAACAATAAACGGAATAAACGGCTTCCTGCCTCAGCATCGTTTGCTTTGAGGGAAACGACCCCTGCATTGTTCTCGACAATGGCATGTTCCTGCCACAAAAATCAGAAGCGTTCATCAAATTTGCTTGAAGGTGAAGGAAGCATCCTCATGTTGAACAAATCATGCACTATGCATACTGTCTGCATACTATGCACCTGATGGATGCCAGGAACTTGCAAAGCAACTTCTGGCCTCGTAGGCTTCACAGATGAAACATTTTGAGGGTGCAAATTCGCAGGTAATGAAAATGTCGGAAGACCGCTTGCAATATTGCAATAATTTGCAATATATTCATAATATATTGTCATTGTCTGTTGTGTTCCTTTTCAAGAATTCTTCTGAGCTTCTTCTTGCTATGCTACTTTGTAGGCAAAAGAACATGTCCAAAATTGCATGAGTCCGCGACGCGTTCGCATCTCCGTCTTCTTGACTTCCCCTTCCAACTCGCGTTTTGCCTTCCTTTGGAGAACAAGGCGAGGACGCTTAGCAATATGGAAAAGTATGGAAAAGCAATCATGATGTCATGATGCAACTAAATCTTTGACGCACATCGGTGTGACTATTCTGCCCTGTGGGATCTGCTAATTATTACTCCACTGATTCAATCATGGAGCACGTATCGTTGCTCTTCATTTCCACAATTAGGTAAAGGTTGATAAAGGATGATAAAGGCGTAAATTCTATGTATATTATTGTATATATATATATATTCAAATTTATATATGTATATTGTATTGATATTCTAATCGTCTTTACCTTCCAAATAGCACAAGTATTCGGGATCAGAAGACTGTTTTGTAGTGCTGCTGTTGCGAACTGTTGTCACACTGCGGTGCTGCATGTTTCTTTGGGCAGACCAGGCAGGACAGCATAAAGTCATTCAAAAGGAAGCCTCGCCTTGAATGCAAACTTCAGTTTCGCTGTCAGAAGCAAGTCCTCACAAAATTCAGAACAGAGATCCAAACAATGCAATTACAGCACAATCGGAGAGAGTTGCAACACACTGCAACGCCCACTATGCCACTATGCTGATCAGAAATGATGGGGCTTTGCGTGAAGGTCGGAAAACTCTGCGGAACAAATTGAGCAACTGACCAAACTGATCAAACCGATCAGACTGATCAAACTGGTCAGACATCCTCGTTCAAGTTGGCGATGTGTGGGAACTTGATGTCAGAGGACTTCTCTTTCTTTGTATTTGCCTGAGTGCAAAGTGTCAAAGTGACGGATCATCCCACAAAGTACCCAAATAGAGCCAAATCCACAACAAAATCCGTTGCCTTTTTCTCCTCGGCTAGTCTATCAGCGAAGCTTTTTTGCATCTCAGTGAGTGCCTCACCAGGCACAGGAATTCATAGAACCTCTCTCAAACTTTTTACCTCTGGTTTATTAACCATGAATACTGCAACACCAAACTCTCAGCTGACCTGCTCCAGAGCAGCAATTTCAGATTGCTTCAGCATCATTTCCTGCAGAAAATGCAGATTATGGCGTGGAGCAAGTGACAGCAGCAAGTGACAACAGGCAATCAACAGTGGACTTGTCTTGGAGTTTTGGAGCAGCTTCCTCGTCGGAAGGACCTGTGTTGGCTCCTGGAGACCTGGTAATCTGCAAACCAAACTGTACGATCTGCTAGATTGCTGCAGCATGCTGCAGCGATTCCCCACAATTCTCAACACACAAAAAAATACGCCATTCGTTTTACTCAGTGGTGGTCAGAGCGTCGCCGAGCAGGAAAGCTTTGAAGACTTGGCAGCCAGACCCTCCGCCAACCATGTTGCGGAGCTTTTCGTTCTCCTCTCGAAGCTGGCGAATAAGTTTGTCCTGCAAGCTCGCAAAATCACGTCACGAAGCGAAGAGTCGAAGAGTACCAACCAACTTTTGACACTTCGCTCTTCATCACCACAAGCAATCAATGCAAGCTGAGAACGTTTGAAACGCTACTGTAAGCAAGAATTGACTTCAGCTTTTGTTGAGAGTTGTTGCGCTTCAAAACAAACCTGTGTGCTTGATGTTCAAGAAACGTCCTGAGGATTTTCATTAATACTCGCAGAGTTTTTGATTCGCTTGGCACCTGAGCAACAGCGCTATGAATTCGTTGATGCGTCAAACATATCATAATCCCAGATCTCAAGTAAACAAATTGCTCTGCCCTTCAGTTGCTATTCGAGTGCACGATCCGCATATCTCAGCGTGGACAAAGTTTCTTCATAGTTTGACCTGGGCTTTCCATAGAGAGATTGCGACTAGAGTGGTGCGGCCATGAGCTGGCAAGCTGTGCCAAAAATGTGTGCCACCAGGACCCCCGACGAAGCTGGTGAAATAGCACCTGGAAATCGAATTTCAAGGGGGGAAAAGTCGCAATCGCTCTGGGTCAAATGAAGCATTTGCAGCTGAGCTAGGCTCAAATCATCACAGTCTTGCTTGAACCACCTGACAGAATTATCAAAAGCGCAGATGGATCACGATAGATGTGCAAAATCAGTTCTTCCCAAACATTGCAGGATGGAACAAAGCGCAAGGCACAGCTTCCAGTTTTCATGGAAAGACTTACATACACCTGTGTCATTGGTCACGTGATGTCAGTGAACAAAAACAGAGATGCTGGCAGTGTTACTGGACAAGACTTGACATGAAAGTGATTTTCAAACAGCTCCACCTAAAGCGTTCTGCAGCAAGCGCGTGAGCTTTGAATCACGGTATGGAATTACTGCCTAGGACACATTCAACTAGAAATCCTTTGGCAACTGGAATCCAATAATCTCTGAGTTATCTCTGAGTGCTCAACACCTGGCTTGGCTTTGCCAGTTGCCTGTCCAAATACTCCAAACACTCTTCCACACAGGTTTCATCGTCATTGCTCCCGGCCTTGTCCGCAAGCTTCTCAATCACATTGCCCAGCGCAGACCTTGGGAGAATGATGCAAGGCAAGGAGTCATTACATTAAATGAATAAATGACAAAGCTCACGAGGTTATATCAAGAAGATGACACTCACAGAGGCACCCTGAGTTGCTGGGCAATGATTTATTAATGGCACAGCCTTCCTTCAATCTGTCTCCACTTGCGCCAGTCTGTCCGGCCTGAACTGTGGATCCACTCTATTGATTGCATCAACTGCATCAACTGCATCGACTCTATCTTTCCTGTCTTCGTTTGCCAATGTCCCACTTCAAAGCATCCAAACGTGCCTTCTCGCTCCCCGCCAAGTCAACTAAATTGATCAACGATAGCTTCTGGCCCTGCTGTCCTGCTGCCTGTCCAATTGGTGATGCGGAATACTGGATAATGCTGGATACCATGCTGCTATCTGATGCCGCAAATCTGAAAGTTTTTCTAGCTTCCCGAACAAGTTCCGCTGTAGAGTTTTCGGTCAAGCCAGCACATACAAACACATATACACAAAAAAAGAACGCAGTGGCCTGGGAGACTTGTTTGAATTCGATCGTCAGAACAGTGTGAGCCTCAAAGCGCGTCAACCGAAAAAAAATGATTCCAAGGAAGTTTCCAAAGAAGGTTGCCTAGCAATCCACCAGCGCAAAGAGTGGTTAAGGTAGATCTATTTGACAGTCCGGCTCAAAGAAAAAGTTGAAATCTTCAAAAAGAAGATGGAAAGACTGTTGTGCCGTGCCCCGGCAATCAATCCAGAAGTCTTTAAAGAAACAAAAAATCGGAATCAGTTTCGATTCTTTTCCGTTAACCCACAACGCCAGGTGTCTCTGGAAGCTCATACCATGTTACACAAAGTACAAAATGGTCATCTTGTGGGAATTGAGGCTGCATGTATCTTTGGCAACATAGCAGTGCTCAACAAAGACGGATAAGAACTGTATTCATAAATATGTGTAATTCATAAATCATAAAGAAATGGATCGAATGACTGGATCATGCTGAATGCTGAATTGTTTGCAACCTCCACCAAACGCGGGCAACAAGTTTTCATGGCTCCAAGTCAGCACATCCTATTGGGCAATTTGGTAGTGACAGAAGTGTGGAAAGGAACTCAAAAAATAAAAGTAGTGTTCCTGTGCTCAAAATTGGAAGAGCCAGAGGCTCCTGTCACACTAACACACTTAGGTCCCAACTCGACTTGAGGTTGCGTTCATCCTTGGCTTGTGATCCCAATCAAGTTCAAAACGGAACTAAGCACGCAAAAGCAAAAACTACACTTGTAATTCCTTGTTTTCCTCCCAAGCTAACACTTGGGGCTGTCAATGAAATCTGGCATTTTTGTTTTCTGAACCCTGTGTGAAAGAGTGTTTCCTGTTAACCCTTGGTAAAGGACGCCTGTGGAGAACCCTTACCTCTGCACTATCTGTGGAAAACAGTTTCTTGGGGAAATTGTTTGTTTGACACAATTTGTCAAGGAATGTTGTATTCTTTGGCGGCCTTGTCTGAAACCTGGTATTTGGGAACACTTTGAGGTATTGGTGGTACTACGTGTCTTGTATGGTTTGTAGACTATTTGCGACAAATTCCTGCGTGGAAACCTTGTTGCTGTGGATGAAGTAACCCGATATCTCCTTCCAACACTTGGCCTTTACTTCAGAAAATCAAAAACATTGTTGGGATCTGTTGGGGAACTCAACGGAAAACAGACCAAAACACAGAGAAGAAAGATCTGAAATGATCTGAATATCTTTCGACAACTTCACCAACAGTAGGTCTCGTGCAAACTATGTAAACTTCAAAGTCCCGTTTAGTTTATAACTATGCAACTTGTGAAAGTCACAACTGTGTTATACTTTTTTGTTGGGGTCGATATGGATGCTGGCACAGGCTCAAGGTCGCACCAACTGTTCGATTTTCTGTCCCTTCTTCCACTACAGCCTGACAACACCACAGTCTCTACAGTCTCTGCATTCTCAAGTGTCAGGATGCCGTAAAGAATCTTGAAGACCAATGTCGATAGAATCCACTGAGCATGGAAGGGTTGACAAGCTAACACGCTGCCTCAATTGAAGCATAAGAGTCCACTGGTCGTCGTGAAACTCCAGCAATGTAGATCCCTAGCCTGCACCACTGCGATTTACTGCAATTTACGATCAAAAAGTGTACACAATACAGAAAAAGTGCTCTGAATCCAGGTTGGCGGCTGCTGCGACTCACGAATTTCAAGACCTGAGATGCAAATTCATCAGTGAATATTCAGTGAATCAAAGTCTCATAGTCCAAGCATCCAAACCAACACAACCTGCCACACTGCCACAAGAATCGGACCTTTCTTTGGTCGATCCTTTGGAGGGACTAGAAGATCCTCACTCATTGCACAAATTGAGTTTCTTTTCACGTTCAAAATTTGCACGTCAAAACTTGCGCAAAACTTGCGCGTTATCCGCCATGGGATTGGATCAGTGGTTTGTCCTGGACCTGTTCATTGTAGATCTCCACCATGGACCTCATGACACATCAAGTGCGGCACATGACCCCATTGATTTGCCTTTGCAACCTGAAAAAACAAGTTAAATGAATTTGCCAAATTAAGCCTCAATGAGCTGTGCACACCATGACCTCGTAGGTCAGATTTGTATCCGTGTTGGCCTTCAGTATCACCATTGCAATTTTCAGAAAGTTTAGTTTTGAAATGATCAAAATATGTCCAGTATCAGTGATGTTGTATGCAATGTGACAAGAGTTCTGAGAGTTTGACCGATATTCTCTTGAAAATTTCTTCGCACGATATTGGTACGATGCCCTCTCCATGGAGAGTTGGGTGATTGGTACAAGTGGGTTAAATCAAGTGTCTCTGAAAAGTTTCCACTCAAAAATACAAAAGGTTTTCTCTACTGAAAGGTTTTGCTTTGCTACCATGCTAAAGCAATTCAGCTAGTCCTTGTTGGCACCATAACCAACCATGGAATAGCTCTTTCCAGCACCAGTCTGCCCTCAACGCAACTGTTGCTCGATGAGAGACCGAAAAACACACAGACACGCTGGAGAAACCTTCCAGGAAACCTTCCATGAGTCGATTTCTGAGGTTGACGCCATACGCAAAAAGGCAACAATGATAGCCTTCCCAGGCCTCAAATCTGAAAACTCATAACGGTGGTCACAACGGGTCACAATGTCATAACGCAGTCCTGAGGCAGCATCACTGTCCAGTATCCGGCGGCCAAATGTCTCGAAAACTGTCCTTTGATCAGCATACCTCGTCACAAAAAAACAAAATCCATCTTTGATATCTCTCCAGTTCTCCGACAATTTCAACAATGCAGACTTGTCATCTCAGTCGAATCAAGCCTGCTGCCAGCAGCTGGAGAACAGTATCCATCGCTGCCAACTTGGAAGCCATCATGACCTCAAAATACAAATGTGTTCACAAAGAGGCAACAAGAATTATGATCAATATGTCAGCGTCAATATCGCACATTGTTCGTTGCACCAAACATAGGGATCCAGACTCCAAAACGAAGCATCGAATGTGAATCTCTTGGCTTCCTCCAAATGCAGAAGGGTAGAAGTTCACAATATTTTTTTGCATTGATATTTGTTTCCCATAAATTTGGTTCAAACCAAGATATCATCAAACGATCCGCCTGCCTTGCCCTTCCCAGACTCCAAAGCCATCTCTGGTGGATTCTGGAGAATGGTTGTCGGCCCGTCCACATCCACGCAAAGCTGGCGCAATGCAGCCAATGAGTACATATTGCAAATCAAGACTGAGATCCACAAAGTAATGAATATAATAAATATAAATCTGAACCTAAATCTAAATATATATATATATAACGTATATGTAATGAACAATATTTGAAGAAAAACTCCCCAGATAAAAATTTGGCATATCTTATGTGCTGCGGGTGGTGCTTGCCTGGGCATTCAGCGTTTTTTCTCTGTCGTTAAAGGGACGAATTCGTACCCCAACGACAACCGAGCATTCCTGCTTGAACGTGGAATTTGGGGTCAACAAATTGACATCAAGTTGAAACGTGCCCATGGCATTGTTTCAGCAAAAATTTGGAGGACACAATATCCATGACAAGTATTACATTGCAACAGTTGGCAAACATTGATCCTCTGCCATTGGCTATTTGCCGCGTCGAAACCTGACAGTGAAAGGAGGCGGCATTGTTTGACTGCCACTGAAATGACAAAACCTGACCACAACAACCATTATCAGCACACAAGGCGGCGGCTGCGGAACCACGAATGGGGGTGGTCTTTGCACATCCCTGGCCTGGCAGATAGCATTGAAAGTGAAATCCCAAACATTCGGGTTTCTGAATGCTGCCAGTCCTGCTCCATCTGGCCGGATCACAAGCAAAACGCGATTCGAACCACATGCCATCATCAAATTTCAAGAAGAACAACTGCCACATGCGCAACTCTGAAACAGCACACGCAATGTGTTTTCGCACCGAAATGTCGACTGACTGCCTACAACCACTGCGAAAGTCTGAACCCAGCAAGTGGATGACTGTTACAAACACTCTCACACTGTCATTCCTTCCAGCCTTTCGTAGGGTTTCATTTGTGTTCAAAACGTTCATCGGGTTGTAATCAATCAAACCATCTCATCATGACAAATCACCTGGATAGCATGCACAGTTTCGTGAAAGAATCAACCTCGTGTCAAAAAATGAAGTCGCATCTTGATTGCATTTTTTTTGCACAAGTTGGATTCGTGTCGGTTTGTGTTTTTGTTGCATGAAGGGCAAAATTTTATAAAAGAAAAAACATCAATCCTTGTCGCTAGGTTTGGTTTGCCTATTATTCCACCATTGTGTTTGGAAAAATGATGAATTGTATCGACTGGTTTTTGCATGCAAAAATTGTCTGGCAGGGCCCTAACATCGAAAAAAATGCGATTGTTTTTTGTTGTGAACATGCCGTAACCCAAACACACTGATCCAATGTGCCAAATACAATTTTGCATCAAAGCAAGTATTCCGTGTTGAACCTGATTTTGAACTCCAGTGCTTCGCACATTGCCAGCCCATTGCGAGTTGTTTTCCTGCGTATTTTCCTCCAAAGGAAAGCGCCTCAAGATAGGAACTGATACTACACTGATCAATGTATGCCACAAAAGAGTAGCAACACGACAGAATGCTATGTATGCACTCAACGCAAATGTGTTGCACCCCACCTTGCTGCAAATGTCAATGTAGCAGCATGAATTCCATGGCCATTTGCGCGGCCAAATCCAAAAGTTGAGTGGCCTGGTTAATGCCGCTGCGGCGTACTTTCGCGTGCCACTACTTGCTAAGTCCCTTAGGGACTGTTGCCAGGTTCCACTTCTTAAAAGAATGGTCGCCTAGCTACTGAGTGTTGCTACCCACTTCACAAAGTTTCTGAGTTGTCACCGTTAGAAGGTCCATGGTGGTACAGCATCCACTCTTCCGGATCGCTCACTTCACATAGTTCTGAATTTCCATGCCTTCGTGCTCTTTCACTGGCAATCTCCATCTCAGCATCACTTTCTGATGTTTTTTCTTCTGCGTTCTCTGAACTGAACATGCGGATTATGGCATCTGCAACCGCATTGACATGCGCGCTACTGGCCGCAGCGCCTCCGCCAGATGAATGGCTCGATATGGCTCGATGAGCTGGCACTCCCAATTCTATTCACCAACTGTTGACCAACTGTAACCGCCCTTTCAGCATCATCCAAGGTGGTACAGAATTGGGAGCTGGACATTCCGTCGGATGGTGCTGATTTTGCTCGATCAAGAAACGCCTCAAAGTATATGTCTTTGCACATGAACTGCCAAGCTGCCAAAGGTTTCAATGGCTATGCTATGCAACGCCTAACTGACAGCAAGTACATGTATGTATTGACACATGTATGTATGGGTAAACTTTGTTCACCCCGCCTCAACATGGTCGTTTGACCTATGTTGCTTTCAAAGTTTTGGTTTGAATCCATGAGACATTCAGCTAATGTCACAAAGCAAAAGGGCATGGATTCTATCGCTAAAAACTCAAATGTCGTACATCAAATGCAAGACTTCATCCATCTGGTTCTGGAGAGTATACATAGCGTCCTCATCCTGGACAATCTCAGCCTCCTCGTACAGAGCTTCCAGGCGATCATATCGGGCACGCAAGACAGCATTGGTGTCATGCATCAACTGTATCGTCTGAGGATCATCTCCAGAAACCATGGTATGGACATCACGTATTGAGTCAGGGTTTTCAACAATTGGGTCACTCTCTTGATTTTCTTCTTCCCCATTTTCATGTTTTCCCAACATTTTGTCTTTATAACCTTTCAACAAGTCAAGCACCTTGTAGAGCGTGGTGTCGATCGAAAGCTTAGAGCACTTGCCCTGCAAAGCATTGATCTGCCACTTCAAGTAGAAGATCCATCCAAGCGCAATGCAAAGAGCAGTCATCAACACCATGCAAAGAAGCTGCCACCAGAACATAGAAGAAACACTGGCGGAAGAACTGGTGCTGACATTGAACTCCATAGCCATCGATTCAGGGAGGCTCAAGGCGCTGAGCAAAAGGATTCTCATCAGTCCTTTTGACTCTTGGGGAGAACTTCCATGTTTTGTGAAAACTTTGACACCTTGTTTCATCACCTCTTTCTGTTTCACAGTCTCTGCAGCATCGGAGCCAACAAAACTGGAGGAAGAAAGGTCGTATATCTTACAGAGGTACATAAGGTACAACATACGTTCTCTGGTCAGTCGTTTTGTACCAATGTAAGTCTGAAGGATTGTCATGTGTGCCAACTCGTCCAACATGTAAAAACTGTTCTTTCACCTTTGCCTGAATCCACAGAATTCTCAGGCTGATATGCCTGATGCGTCCCACGCCTGAGCGGCAAAAGAATGCTCGAGCAGCTGAATTGTCAAGACAAAGTTGAAAGCGCACCTCAAGTTCCGGGCCGATTGCAAATGAAAGGCAGTAGAACATCAACACTCCATCGCAGCAAGCACCTGCAGCAGAGTAAATCTCGGCTTCAGCCGAACTCAATGCCAAAGCTTTCTGACTCCTGGAAGTGGAGTAAAGAAGGTTGCCAAACAAAAACAAACATCCTGATGAAACACTTCTCCTTGTGGTTTTGTGCTTAGCCCAATCGCTGTCTGAATACACCTCCAAGGTGTAGGCCAACTCATTGTAGTGCAGTAGCCCATGGTGGGCCTTGTACGAAAGCATGATGCAGTGGTCAATGCATCCAAGCAAATACATACACAAATGCCGCAAACATGCAAGGGCTCTGACAGTTGGTTTGGCCATACATTGAGACAAACCTCAAATTGTATATTGGCACTCAACATAGTCAGCTGCAATGTATAGTAGCACTCCCACGCAAGACCTGTATGTGCTCGCATCACTGGGTCTAAGCTCTGCACTACCATCTGGTTCATCCAGCATAGGATGGCCTGGCGTTTTTTTGGGCTTGAGGTTTCTGTTGATGTGCACCAAGTCAAACAAACGTTCCAAGTGCTTTGGATGGCTTTGCACAGCCAACTCGTTCTCAGATAAAAGCATGTGCCTCCTCTTCAAGAAGGTCAACTCATCTCCCGGGTTCTCAACCTTTTCACAAGAGATCTTGTACTTGGCTTTCAAGGCAGGCAGCAAGACACACTCCAAGTAGTCTTTGTGGCTGAGGCACAGGACATCGTCCACGTGAAGCATCAGCAAACATTCGAATCCACCTGTCCTCAACAAGCAAGGGTAGGCTTCGCATTCAGCAAAACCAAGTTCTGACTTCAGCAAATTGCTGAAACATTCATGCCGAAGCTGAGATCCATTCCTTTGTCCAGGCAACACTCTGCCCAGCATAAACTCTGTTGTTTGACCTGCAGCATCTTCGCAAGTAACCTGGGTCAGTTCTTTCTGTTCAACCATCAGGAAAGCGTCTGCTATGTCTATGGCACATAGTATATAGTTGGAGAGCTTCCATTTCATATATAGTGTTGGGAGAAGACGAACTGTGAGGACTGAACTCGCTGGAGAAAACAGATCTTGGCCTGGCGATCTGGTGAAAGCCAAGCAAACTCCCGCGCCACGTATCGTGACCTTCGAAGCCACACATGTTGACCTTGGATATGCTTGTCTCTCCAAATTCTAACCATTCGAGTGGTCAAACGTTTGGGGGTCTGGCCTTTGCAGTCATAGGTCTCCACAGGCAGGAGAACCTTCATACTTTTCAGCCTCTCAATCTCCACAGCGTCCGCAAGAAGGTCAAGCCTGAGGAGTTGTTCACCGCTAAGGTTTGATTCCAGAGTCGTAAAAGGAACAGTCAAAAGCTTCAGAACGTCGTCACTCAAAGTTGGAAAGCTAAGCTGAGGTTCATCACTGTCGTCCTCAACATCATCCAACCCATAGTCATAGCTTTCAAGTTCATCCAACTCCTCAGTCTCAAAGAAAGTCAAATGACTGTCTTCCTCATGTGCACAAATACGCAAGAGTCTCTGTTGTTTGGATGGCCTGCTGTCACCACCTTCGTCTGCATCATCTCTTTGGTTACATGTGTTCCATGAACAGAAACATCTGCAGCACCGCCTGCAGAAACTGTTGAGCTGGTAGCTCCTTCGGCTGGTGGAGTGATAGGCGCACTTGCACCATGTTCTGAACTGATCCCCGCCTCAGCTGACACCTCCATGTCATCATCAGGTTCATGCCTTGCAGGAACAGCAACACTTGTTGAAGGAGGAGCTAAAACACGTGGCATGGCTGGTGTGGCAGGGACTGGGCCAACATCATCGTCAGCATGTTCATCAGGAGTAGGTGGAACTCCCATGACAGCCTCTGCATCAAGATCACGTGGTGGAACTGATGGTAAGGGCAAAGGTGCTGGGGATGATATTCTTTTCGCCAAAACAAGCTGAGAGCCAAGCGACGCATAGCCAAACTGCCATGGGGTCGCCTCCATGTTGGCCACCATTTCACCATCCCAAGGTTTTGGAAACATTCGCACACTTCGAGTGACAAACAGTCTTGGATGACCTGGCACAGCTATTATATGCACATCATTTGAGCTAGTCTTGCCAAGCCAAACACCTTTCGTCCATTGAGGGGCGCCTTTTGTAGACACCTTCAGAAAACCCAGCACACTCTCACCAAAAAGCGCAAGTCTGCCATTGTAGGAACGGCCAGAGCAAATCTCGTAAGGGGTCAGGCCTTGGCGCACAACAAATCTGCTGTGTACCCATGCACTGTGAAGAAGACTCCATTGATATAGTGGGTGATGACACCCAATCACATCCGAGATTCCA